AGAAAACGCGATATTAAACACACAAACATTATTGTTGTTTTTCATTTAAGTCTAAATTCTGTGAATGTCAATGTGGACTTTTTAGCAGGCTTTTTCTCAGGAGCAAGCTGGTAAATGTTTTACAAAGCCATATTTGTAGTCATTTGGGTTTTGTTTTATTAATTGAGAATCTGTGAAGAGCATCTGTTACTCTGTGTCCACAGCATCATCTCAGCCCCATTTGGTGAACCGTTCTGCTGGCTTAAGAACATCTTTAAAGCTGACAACAAGCAGTTAGGACAACAGCTGTAATTGGATTTGTAATCCAGAGGATCTCTCTCTGTCTTGCTCCCCGCTGCTCTGTCAGACAGAAGCTAAATGAGAAGAGAAGAGAAAAAATCACATTGATCTTCTCCCTTGTGAACTGCTGTGGTGAAAAGGGATGTCCTGCTCAAGCTACTGCCTGGCAGAAGGGTGCACATATCTCCCAGTGTTGAGTCTAGCAGGGACCTGGTTCATGGCTTGCTGGCTGGTGGTGCCTGGTTGTCTCTTCTTACTGGGGCAAAACCAGTAGCCCTAGGCACTGCTCAAACATCAAGCAAGAGTATCAAGTTTGCTCTGAAGAGCAAAGTGTGATATGCAATAAGCTTGCAAAACTTCTACCTTGCAAGCTTTTGGAACAGCACCACCTCTCTTTGGGAATTCACTGCCACCTTAGAAAGGGTTATTTGACACAACTGGAAAATGCTTCTCAGGCTGGAGACCTCAGCTCACTAAATTAGCCTGACATTTGTTGATGAAGACTGTGTCACCTGGGCGCAAGGCAAAAGCTCACGAAACGCTCTGCACTGGGGCTCGGAGAGCTGGATAGCCATAAGGCTGGACAGCAGTAGGCTTCAGAGCCTCTTGCCTGATCTGACACTCACCGTCTTTGTGCTGGTGTAGAGAGTTTGGCTTTCTCTGACCAACTGACCTTAGTTCTTAAATTATGAACAGTTACAAGCGCAGTGTTAGTACTGTGGGTTGCCTCAGTCAAGTGGAGTTGAATGCCTTCTCCATGCTTGTTCAAGCAGCTGAACTCAAGGCAGACATTCGTGTTTACCCATGGGAATGCTTAGTGGTAAGCACAGCATGTAGTAATTAGGGTAACCCTATTGAAATCAGGGTGAGGCTGTGAGCGGTATCTGCAGGCAGGTATTTGTGTATTTGGGATTGTGGCAGTAGCAATTTTGCAGTAATCCCTCACGAAGGAACCCCCTCTGGGGTGTTTGAGACCTTCCACGCTTCACTGCTCACTACTGGGGTCATGTAGAGTTAGACTTTGTTGCCCAAGTTGTGTAACAGACTTAGTTCCCTTTAAGGCTGGGTTGTGGGATGGATCAGTGATAAATCTCATATTAAAGAATGAGTTACAAAGGAGAAGTGTGAGGTGGAAGGAAGCATTTGAGATGAGGGTAATGCTGCCCATTCAGCAGTGCTGTAGGCTAGCTGGCAGCTGATGAATGTGTGTTGGCAGCTTCCTCGAGGGCATCTTTCTTCCTACTGCTGTTAATGATGGGGTTTTCCTGAATTGGAGGAAAGAGCAAACAAATACCTCGTGCTTTCTCTCTTCTGTGCTTTCTCAGTTTGAAATCCCACTTCGTGATGAGAGAGGTGAGGGACACTTCTCCATTACAGCAGCTACCTCCTCATTCCCTGTTATCAATGCTGAGGTATCATGCCCATGTAGAGTTTTAGGCTGCCATCAGTGCTCTTGATTTATATATTCATCATAACCCAGAACTAGGTTATTCTTCCCAAATATGCTTTATGTTGCTGAACATGAAGGTATCCCAAAACATTATCTCATTTCCCTTGGCTAAAGCTAAATTCAATGATGACTATTAAATGATGACATTTACAATGATGACATGAAATTCAATGATGACTACTTCATGAATGAACCTTTATTCATTTTGGGATTTTATTTCAAAGATTATGTGTTATAGAGGGCTCCAAAACATAAAATTATCCGTGTAAACATAAGCCCAGTGTAATGCCATTGATCTAATTCAGATTTCTTCTTTGTGTAAAGCCTGTTCTATCCACCTCTGATCACTTCCTGAATGTCTGTGGTTTGATGGAGCCAAGGCATTAGAAAGATGTCTTTAATGATAAAGAGTCAATGGCTTCATGGGATGAAAGTTATTGCAGTCACAGGGATTTGGCACAGGCAAGGTAACAGGGGTTAACATATCAGAAAGGAGGCAACTGCCTTGCCAAGGATGAGCTGATAAACATTAGCATGTAGAGGGAAAGAAGACCAAATCCTGGAACTGTCACTTGGGCCAAGGAAACATATGCTATAATCACAGAAGGCATTTATAATCATTACTTTTCAGAAGAAATTCCTTCACTAGATAACTGGCAAATGGTAACTTTATGGTAATAACAAATTGCAGATGCATTCTCCAGAATCCTGGAAAACACTTAGCTGGAATGGGAAAAATGCCCTGATTAATCTCTTTAGCGTGTTATTTTTTCTGCTTAGAAATTCAGAGTCCCACAGGATTAGTTCTAGGATCTGTGCTGTTCACAGCAACCCAAAAAAAGCAATCCAGACACAACAGTGACCTCGGCATTGGTTATTTCTTGGGTGAAGGGGCTAAGAAAGGGCATGGCCAGCCCCCCAGACGTGTGCAAAGCAAGTGTTCACGGACAGCCAGGTGGCCAGAGGGTAGGAAGGGGAGAACAAAAGACATTCTGCTGCTTTCTAACTGCTGGGATGTGCAGGTTTTTTCTTTTCTTTAAAAGGACAGAGAGGAATTTGAAAAGAAAGAGAGAAAGATAATCAAAGGCATAAAATGAGTTTGGCATGAGGAAAGAGAGTAAATAGAATAGCATTCTTCAGTTCGGAAAGAGATGTCAGATGATAAAGGTCATACGGGTCTATAAAATCACTGAGAAGGTGGAAAAGGTGACCAGAGAGTGATTCTTCACTGTTTCTCACAGTAGAGGAACTGAGGGGAGTGAAAGGAAATTATCAGGCAGCAAATTTAAAATGAGCAAGAAATACTTTCTTCACATGACAAACAGATAGGTTGTGGAACTGAATGCCACAGAGTATTGTGGAGTTACAAATGAGATCAAGAATTCATGGAAGATAGGTCTCTCAAAGGTTATTTTAAAAACGAGATGAGGATGCAACTTCTTGCTGTGGAATTTTCTAAGCTATAATGCTGACAGCTGCCCCATTTTGTACCATGGCCCTAAACTTCTGGTACCTGCCAAAGACACGAGACAGGGCTAGATGAACCCATGATGGTCTAACTAGATCTGGCCCACCATGTCTTTTCCATGTTCTCACATACACATAAGTTGGGGTGCTCCAAAATAAGTTTTTGCTTTTGTTGGTTTTGGCTGTGTCTAGACAGATTTCTTTGGAAGGTTTCGGGTCTGTCCTGGTGTGGGACTGAGCTCCACAGATCAAGGGATGAAGTTTGGATCTCAGTATGCATGAAAAATATTCAAGTGAGATCCAGTACTCTGGCATGAGTCTTATTTTCCCTCTTCTTTCTGTCCCCACAGTAAATTGCTGATTACTTTCACAAAGTAGAATAGAGCACATATACAGATAGATATTCCTTAGAGGAAAACAGTGTTGGAGGACATTAAGTAAATGCATCTGAATTAGAGCTACTCAAAATGCTTTCACTCTTTCATTCCTTCACTCTGCAAGGGACAAGCCAGCGGCTAGCCATGGGTACAGGCTACTATGTGCAGCCTTGCACAGTCGTAGTCTGGGCTTGACATGCTGTCTGCTCTGCCCATGTGCCAAACAGCATGGACACATAGCCATCTGCAGAGATTCTCCATGCAGGCCTCCTGCTTCAGAAAGGCCTGATGCCCTGAAATCCTGGACAAACAAGCTGTGCTGGGTGACGGTGAAGAGGAAAAGGGATCCAAAATGTTCTTAATCTCACTTGTCTGCCATTCAGTCCATGACTGTAAAAGTGCTGTGCCACCAGGATACAAGAGAAACTGCCTTGGCAAGTGCAGTGGTTCTCGAGGCTTATTAGTCTGCTTAGTGCTTAGGAGTAGCTGAAAGGCGTGCTCTAGTTATTATTATAATTGAGTCGTTTAAAGTTTCCTTCCTTTCAGCCAGAGGGTTTGTAGCTGAAGTTCTGATTTCAGACCATCATGCCAATCTGATTACCATTTTAGTTACACTTTTTCTACTCTCACATTGTGTGTTGTTCCAGTTTTTAGCCCTATATTCAGGGTAGAGGGATAGGAATCAGGCAGATGTGTGCTGCAGCCTTTTCATTTGACTATGTAATTGCCTTCTCCAGACAAGAGAGAATTCTCAAGTATTCAAGCAAGACTGTCTCGGTGGTACTCCTCAGTTTCACTCTGCTTGTGGATAAAATGCCTGGGCAGGCAGAGCTTGCAGAGGCTGCTTGCACCGAGACACTTGATAAGGACCAAGAAAGTTAGGAGCTTTTGTTCCATGTGTCAGTGATGCCATGGCAAAAGTGGCCATTTTTCTATCAAGATTATTTTAATGTCTTTAAGAAACTTGCTTCTAAATCTTCATAGCTGTAATTCTTTTGCATTTTGAGAACTTTCCTCTTTAAAATTTATTACTATCTAATGTCAGTGATTTCCATGCCCCCCCGCCAAACTGTCAGGCATGGAGTGGCCAGCTGGAACAGAGCAGGGTAATGACTGCGTTTTCTACACCCACAAATCACAATTAATGCTTGAAAAAGAACTTGCTAAAGGAGTTACTCTGCATTTGCTGTGTCAGCTGTGGAGCACAGCAAAGCTGCAGTTGTTCCCGGTGAAGGGTGTTCATGCCCTGGAGCTATGCTCCCAGGAATGTTGTTACAAGAGGTTTTGCCTTCCATCTGGGAGTAGTAACTTCTCTTTTGAACAGCTTTAGGCAGCGGTCTAAATGCACGCAGGACCTGCATCATCTCTGCTGCCTCTTTGGAGCCCTGTCCATCCAGGTAACAGTCTCTTTTTCGGTCTTGTTCTAGGGATATCTATGCCCATTCCAGTCATTGGTTTGCAGGATGACTCCAGGGTGTTCGTAAATGGGACCTGTGTCCTCAACGATGAGAACTTCGTCCTTATTGGATCCTTCATGGCGTTCTTCATCCCTCTCATCATCATGGTGATCACATATTGCCTGACTGTCCAGGTGCTGCAGAGACAGGCAACGGTGTTCATGTGTGGAGAGGTGCCTAAGCAGAGAAGGAGCAGCGTAAACTGCCTCAAGAAGGAAAACAATGCAGAGAACATTTCAATGCTTCACAATCATGAGGGAGCATCTCACTTGAACTCTCCTGTAAATAAGGAGGCAGTGCTTTTTCGGAAAGGAACTATGCAGTCCATCAACAACGAGCGAAGAGCCTCCAAGGTCCTGGGCATTGTCTTCTTTTTGTTCCTCATCATGTGGTGCCCATTTTTCATCACAAATGTCATGTCTGTCCTTTGCAAGGAAGCCTGTGATAAAGACCTCTTGAGTGAACTCCTTGATGTGTTTGTTTGGGTGGGGTATGTTTGCTCTGGGATTAATCCCCTCGTATACACACTCTTCAATAAGACTTACCGCAGGGCTTTTTCCAATTACATCCGTTGCCAATACAAGACCAGTAAAAAATCAGCACTGCGGCAGAATCAGTGTCTGAATGTGGCTTCAACAGCTTTATATGGAAAAGATCTGACTTTAACTAGCTATCGAAATGGCAATGAACTCAATAGCATGGAACTAGATGAAGGCCTTGAAATGCAACCAGGGACTTCAGAGCTCTCCATAAACAGCTGTAATGTTGTAAGTGAAAGAGTGAGCTGTGTGTAAAGGTGGCTCACGCAGCCTTTTGCTACGGGGCATCTGTAGCCAAAATATATTGTGTAAAAATGTAAGTGTTGGTCAAAGGACAATGTAAATATTGCATTCTGAACAAAGCTTTTTTTTTTAAAGAAAAAAAAGAGTTGTCTTTCCAGTCCAGTACTTAAAATCATATATATTAATATACTGCAGTGAAGTTTAAGGTTCTATATTTACTGTTAATACTAGATCAGAACTATTAGTTATTTTGCATATGTCATGGACAAAATGTTTGAATTCTTCTTCCAGTGCATGAACAAAAATGCTGAATATTTATCTCAGGTGGCATTTGCTGGAGTCCAGAATGGCACGTTAATAGTTATTTATCAAATACATGCTATTAGACTTGGTCAGTATAACTTTCTTTTTCAAGTTGACAGTAAATATATACTTTAAATCCTCACCTCTATTTGTGCCGTGTAAAGACTGTACAGAAACTTGGCAGAGAGACATCACAAAAGTGTAGCGGCTGTGCAGGCACCTGGCGGGACATGTCCTGTTATGGGTAGTGGCTTGGTGCCATACCGGGGCAATCTTGCACTTCAAGGGACCTCTGTTAAATTTTGACTCCTTGTCCAATCCTGCTGTTTTCTTTCCATTCCCCGGGAGACTCTGGCTCCCGTAAAGAAGGTGGGGAATGCAGTTCTGGTGTGGTTTTGCGATCCTGACTGGGATCACTTGCACACTTGGAGAAGAAGTATGAGAAATAGAGAGAACCCCAGTTGTCTGCTTCAACTGTTTTATGAATGGGGGGCCTCAAATCTATAAAAAGCCCTTGTTTGGTCTACAGATAATCATCAGCTCTTGGATGGAGCAAGCTGTGCTTAGTGTGGATGGCACTGCCTTCACAGATTGCTTGGATGATCAGGGTCTTTGGTTGACTTGGAGAAGAGCGCTCTGGCTTTCTAAGAGCTCTTGCCTTCTCGGTCCTCACATCTATTTATTCCTTAGCTTGTTTAGCATTTACTTTTATTTTTCAGCATCCTGGGACTTGCAGTGCTGGTGGTAAAACACTGCTTTGGGTGTAGAGCAGAAGCTGCTGTGAGTGTGGTGCTGGTTGGTGTCAGGCTGTGAGGTGCAGGATATGACTCTCTGGGGGGTGCTGGGAGAGAGGCATAAATGAGGGGCCCTGCTCATTTCTCCTGTCTCAGGAGAGAGTGAGCAGAGCTGGACAGAGTATGTGACTGGAATCATTTGCTGGTGACATAGTTCAAAAGTAAAAGATGACCAGGGACAGGATGGAAGCAAACCTGGAGCTAGTCTACATGGAATATTAATCTAGATTAATTTTTAAATTTGATTTTACTCCCAAAGTAAATTATAGTATATCTTATTAACACCACTTACATCTTAATGAAAACATCCACATTGGGATTTAATGCAGTTTAAGTAATCTGCTTTTAATTCACACCATGTATAATTTGAATTAATTTTCCTCTGTGTTCCTGTGTAGACAAACCCTCCAAGGCATCGTGTCTTCCTGGCACTGTGCCCCCAGGGTGATGCCCCTCATGCAATTTTCTTTGTGTAGAGTATTGTCTAATGCCAGATATCACCCATAAGATTTTTACATCTTCATTAACTAATGCTGCAGTGCCCATCTAACATGAATGCATTTAGCATCACTGACAGCTTCTGGCTATGAAAATCCTCAAAACAGAAAAGCTTACACTAGGCATGGATAAATTGCATTTTACTAACATGAACTATTTGTACTCCAAGCTTGCTGTGTTCATCCCACCAAAACTGACTTGTAGAAGAAATGGAAAATTCTGTGCTTTAGCATAACATTGCGCTGTTGCATTGCTGTGTACAGCGACAACTTCACTGAGGCCGCTACCAAAATGTAACCTACAGATTGCATCTACTGCTGGGTTGCTCCCGGCTTGATGCATTGAAGTTGATGGTCCTCTCTTCTCCCTCATCCCCTCCTGGGAAAAATCCATAGTACTTCCATGCAGGCAGGTAAAGTACCCCAGTACGGAGCGGAGCTTACTGCTTGCAGAAGGCAGCAGAGATGCACCATATGCCAGCCTGCTGATACCGCCATGGGCTTGAATGCTCAGGAATCCACTTGCCTCTCCAAAAAGGTCTGGTGACCAGTAGAAAAAGGACTGGCCAGAGACACAAACTTGTGCCTTCAATGTCTACCCTTTGCTCCCAGTCAGATTTGGTTATTTCAAACAGTACAGAAAAATCAGAAAGATCACCTTGCTTTTTAAGTTCTTTTTTTTCCTTGGGTGAATTCATAGCACATCTTTTGCAAACATGTATATGTGTGTGTGTGCATATATGTGTGACTGTGTACATATATATATACACATACATCATATATATATTTAAAAGCCAACCACAGACTTTGAAAGCATTTAGCAATAAGTTGAATTACAGTAGCTTCTAGCACATGTGTGAATAGGTCATGTGTGAATAGCTCATTTTCCACAGCACGCTCAAACTTGGTGTAAGTCCGCACACAGGCATTGTCTTCACACAGAAACCTTCATGTCTTACCCTTGCCAGTTCTGTCGTATGAGCTAAAAGGGAACCTACTATATTTGGATGTAAATAATGAGAATTGATTAGAGAATTTACAGAATTTTTATAAATGTTTTTTAAAAATTCAGCACCAGAACTGTAAATATGTTGACCGTGGCTACTCAGCTGGACCCATTCTGATGTACGTCACTTGTTTAGATTAAACAGACAAGGGGACTGCCTTACAGTGTCTGCATTCTCTCCCAGCCAGTGGGTGCTAACATTTTTGTGAATGGTTAAATACTGTCACTTACCCAACTTCCTTTGGGTCATTCACATCAGGGTTTTGTGATGCTGCTATTAATTTATTAAAGAAAGTTTGTTGGTTTAATCACTCTTAATTTTTTTTCATGGTCTATCAGAAAATAAATAAATGAACATGCCCTCTCTTTCTTTTATCCATCCCCAATTAAAATCTTTCCTGAGTGAAAAATACTTCCTAACCAAAAAACAAAACAACAACAAAAAATGAGGATAAGGATGAGGATAACTTTCATTTGTCCTCCCACACTTGAAGTATGGCCCACAATTTCTTAATCACAGAGGTTGGTGCCAGCAGATATCCCAACACTTCCAACCCCAAAACTTATTAAATACCAAACCAGTGATAAACTGTTCTCCCTCTTCTTCTTGCTTCCTCCAGGAATAACTGTTCAAAATGACATTTTTTTTTAATTACCTCTATTTGAAGAAGGGATTTAGTTCTCTGCAACTTAACCAAAGTCAGTTGTCCCCACAGCAGTTTTTCTTCTCCTGACCTGTAGTCATTAACCATGGTGGTGCCTCAAGAAGCCCTGCCCCGGGGCTGCCCAGTGGCAATACCTGTTGGAAGTCTTGTGTAAGTCCTCAAACCTCGGCTCAGGTATGGTTTTGTCTTATGATTAGTTTATGTTTTGTTTTGAGTTTGGGCTGAACAAGTGAAAATAGTTCCTTGGAAATGGTGCTGTAGGCTGAAAGATGTTGGTTGCTTTGTTTCCCAAACCAGATGGGAGATGTGCAGGCAGGCTGCCTGCGAGACTGAACATGCACGTACAGGCTCCGACCCAGCAAAGAGACCACCCTGTTTGACTTGCATTGGGGAGTCTACTCGTGGGATCAGCCCCCGAACTAGCACCCTGCTGAGCTGTAGGGGCTTGCAGCCTTCCCCATTAGAGGACAGAAGCAAGGCTGGCCACGTTTGCTCAGGCACAAAGCCTTGTGGCTGAGCAACCTGGCTTCCAGACCTGAGCTGGCTCATCTGTATCTGTGACGTTGTCCCACATGGCCAAGTCTGGGGTGTAGCATCCATGAAGTCAGCCATGGTGGCTTTGGGGACCTCTGAGGGCCTCAAAGGCTGCCCTTTGAGGACAAGGGCCTGCTCCTTCAGTCCTGTGCTCACCGAATACAAGAGCAGTTACCCAAAAGCTGTGTCATTTGGGAGGCAATACAGTTCAGAGCCAATGCTGAGGAGCCTCAAGGCATCCTACCTCAGCATGGCTCTCCTTGGTCGAGTGACTTCTGAGTCAGCGATAGTTTTTATCTGAGTGATGATTTAAAGATGTTAATGTTAGGTGATGTGTGAGTAGCTGATGTGAGCAATGTGGTTAGTGTCTTTTTCTCTCTAGAGACACTCATGTCAATCTTTACTGCCTTTCTTCTGGACAGCCCTACAAAGAGGTTCATCACTGGCGTGGAGCGTGGCCAGTGCTCTTCCCTTCCAAGTCAGAAGGCTGACTGTAGTCATCTGATGTGCTGGAGCCACAAAGGCCCTGGATATGGATACCCAAATTCCAAAGGAAAAACGTATTTTAAAGAAAAAAAGTAAACCACAAGCAGCTCTTCAGAAATATTGTTTCACTTTAAGCTAGTGAAGGGTGTCTGATATAGTTGCAGACAAATAATGCTAATCTGGTATTCTAAAAGCAGTGTCTGTCGTGATAAAGATGCAGATGTCTCTTGGATGGGTTTCCTCCCTGGGTCACAGTATCATTAGGATAGCTACATACCAAGTCAAAACTGCACTTGGCTTTGTCTCTGTTTCAGACTGGGGTGAAAAAGGCATCAGAAGCTTTTTCCTGGGAAAAAGCACACAAAGACCACCAAGCCTTTGGCAGCTGCAGCAGAACAGAGATGGACAGATATACGCATACATCTGCACGCACGAACACGCATCCCAAAGGCCCTAGAGAGCAACAAGAGACATTATCATGCTGCAGTCTTCCCTTGAAAAAATGGGAATAACTGAACAGCTGGGGAGGAAACTTGTGATGGGGAGATCATATGCAGTTGTAGGGGTCACTGTGAAATGTGGGCTGTTCTAGTGATGATGTAGTGGTGGGGGTGCATGTACCAAAAAATACTTTTATTTTTTCATTTTTAACTATGAAGTTGTTATTGACTGTTCTGCCTCTCCCTCATTTTTCTTTAAGTCTCTGGTCTTCTGCTTGTTTGCTTTTACCCACACTGAAACTTGTGCTCTGAAGCTGTCAGAAGTCAACAAAATACCTATGTGATGTGTCATTCCCTCCCAGCTGTGCAGGGATGCTACAATCCCATAACAACATGGAGACAGAGAGTCTTCAGGTGAGTGATTTTAGCTATATATGAGACAGACATCAATGCAGCAAGGCATGCTTACCAATTAAAGAACCACACCAGAAGATCTTCAACGAACAGTCAAGTACATGAGCTATGCAATGAAAATTTTGGCTTAAAACTATCCTAAATCATGGGTTCTGCTGACAGCAGGAGATTGTGTCGGTACATGGGGAGGGAGTCTGGTAGCGCAGGGTGCCTTGACCTGCACCCTGCTCTGAGCAGCCTTCCTGCACGCTCCCTCCGGGAGGGTGCGTGTGTTACAACCTGGCACGGCGTGTCCTGA